AGAGGGCCTTGTTTGGGAAGCCAGCTTGGTTAAGGGCAGTGAGAATGGAGGCCCATGAGACGCAATCTCTTTGGGGCATTTCGTCGAACAGGCGTAGGGCGTCCTGGGGGAGGCCGCATTTCCCATAGACGTCGATCAGCGTGTTGGGTAAAGGGCCAAATGCGTGCAGACCAAGCTTGATGAAAAGGGCATGGAGCTGCTTGGCAGTTGATGGGGTTCGGTGTATGGCACATGACTTGAGGTGGTGAAGGTATTGAAAGACAAACATGCATATGCGGTTACGGACTTCTTTGTTTTGGGATGCCGGAGGGGATTATATGTTCCCCTCAAAACTTTAAATTAACCCCTAAAGAAACAAAGTTTTGCAATGAAACCATTTTTATTTTTATTTTTTGGGCCTTTAAATCATTTATTATAATTTATAATCTCTAATTTATAAGTTTAGCTTCCCGCTTTTAGAAACTACACTAAAAAAAAAAAAAAAAAAAAAAAAAATTGGATAAGGCCATAAAATTTGATGTTAATTTACTTTACATTTAGGTTCCACTTGATTTTTTATTTTTTTGTGAAAAGAACTTTTTTTATATATTAAAGTAAGTGATTCAAGTTTGTGAATAAAAAAAATAAAAGAAAGAGTAAATATTCAAACTCTTATTAGAAAAATATAAAATTATAAAATCACGTCAATTAATAAGATTTTATTAGTAAGATTTATCTTATAAGTATAGATTATAAGAATTGTTAGTTAATAAGAGTTGCTTATTAAAATTATAATTTTATCATAATTATATTTAGTTGTGAATGTCATAAGTTAAGTAATTATTAAAAATTTCTAGTATTATTTCTTGGATTGATTTGATTGTTATTGTTTAACATCAAATGAAAAACTATAGTACAACAACTTGGTTTATACGAAGGGAAAGGGGAAGAGGTAGGTTGGGTTGGGATTTGCACCCTCAACCTAACACTAAGTAGATTTTGGCAGCAACACATTATTTCAAATAGAGAAATGTACATTCTTTTCATTCATTTTTTTTGGAAACACATCCTTTTCACTTTTTTACCAGCAACATAGATATATAGGAAACACAATCTTTCATTTTGTGGTGCTACAAAGACACCCATCTCTTCTTCAAATCCTAAGCCTTTAAATAACAATAAACAAGGCATATATGTCTTGCCACCAGGATATTAATTTTGTTATTATCTTCAGAAATCAGAGAGTCACACTTGGGAATACACACCCTCTAACACCTGCAAAATAATATATATTCAAGAAAAAAAAATGCTCATAGTTAGTATTTTTCTATTATTTTAAATAAACAATATACTATTTTACAGTTTAACTAGTTTAAAATAATAACACATAAACTCTTTTTAAGTGAAAATGATTTTTAATATCAAAGGTCTCACCGTTAATGTTTTACTGTTTAAATGTAAAATACTTTTTTTTTAATTTAAATAATTTCATGTTAAAATTAAAAACGAAAAAAAAAAAAAAAACCTGGATTATTTGTGGTCTGAACGGCTAATCCGTTGAAGTAGCAGGACGCGCCCTGGCTCCGGAGCTGCGCCCAGTACGAGCTGAATGCATAACTCGCATGGCTGATAACCGACACCGGTTGGTAACACTCCCTTCCCGGTGTCAATGCCGCACATGTCTCGTTGCCCTGACTGCAGGCAAAGTTTAACGCCGAAGGCAGCTCCATCAAATTGGCCCCCTCCGCCACCACGCACCATAATTCCCCCCTGTAAGGTTCGTTATTCACCGGCGGCGGCAATGGATCGTAATCAGACAGCTGCCGATCCCCCGTTAAGTCAATGTCATAAATGGACGTCCCGTTCGGCCTCAGCAACCCCCAGTGCCTCTCTGTTCCGGGACCCGCCTTTTGGTTCTCGTTGTACAAGGAGAAAATAAATGTCGGGATGGCCACACCAGGCCTGGCCGGTGTTCCTAGTGGCGGGTTTGCGGTCATCCTTTTGATTAGATTTCGGTTGTAAGTGGCGGCGTTGTGGACGTTTGCTCCAATTTGATCCAAATCACCGGAATTAGGCCACCCTGTTTCGGATATTGCTAGACGGATATCAGGGTACCCAAATTTCTCCATGGCGAAATTCACCGAGTCAAGCATTTGGTCCAGGAGATTTGTATACACCAATCCACTTCCGGGGTCTGTGTGCTTAACATTCCCCTCAAATAGAGCCATGTCCAAGCTGATGTTCTTCGGGTTAGCTGACCAGGGGAAGTAAGTATAAACATCGAGGAAAAAATACGATTTGGATGAGTTCAGGAAATGCAGCAACGGTGGCATTACATTTTCCGAAATATCAGACCGGAAAGTGGCGCTTGATGGTGGGAAAGTTGATTGCAGAACGTCCATGGCTAAGGGGGTGCTGACCTTGATGTTTTTGATACCTTGTGCTCTCAGAGCAGCCTTGATTCTTCGCATTGCAGGAACGAGATTGTGCCAGATTTCCTTGTCATAATCTGAAGAGTAACTGAGGACTTCGTTCCCGACCAAGATGAATCGAATCATGGTATCCGGATAGAAAAGCAGGACATTGTCATGGACCCACTGGGCCGCTGATGTCTGGTTCGCAGCAATGTTAATAATTTCGTCGTTGGGGATCATAACAGAGACTTCAAGTTTTGTTCCACCAAGGAGTTTGAGTATCTCAGGATCGGCATCATAGAGCTTCACCCGGCCGGCTTTCATGGATTTGATGATTTGGATGGACTGATACGGAGATGGTAAATTGTTCCCTACTCGACCATAGTTAATGCCAATTTTACTTGAGCTTTCTGCCCCTGTTAAAGAAAAAAAAAACATTAAAAAAAAAGGGAATTAAACTCAATGAAGAATGATTTTGGGGATAATCAGCTTTTGATCTAGAGAACTTACATGAACCAACAAGGAGACAGGACAATATGAGACAAAGAAGAAGTGGTTTTGAAGATGGATTATCCATTGCAAAAGTCAAGTCTTGTTTGAATGTTGTAATGGAATGGATTTGGTTGTGAGTCTCATGCAACAGAATGGTGTATTTTATAAGGAAAGATGGCATGAAGAATGGGTGTGGATTATGTGGAGATGCAAGAAATCTTGTATGGTTCAATGATCTTTGTGAGTGTATAAAGAACAAAGTAGTTGAGGATTTTTGTTTAGTTTCCGAGGAAAAGAAAGAAAGGTAAGAAGGGACAAAGCGCAGATTCGAATTTGAATTAAAGTTAAAGAAGGTATTGTTAAAGAAATGAAAAGAATGGGGTGTTGGGGTCTATTGGATTCTACATTTTTTCTTTGGCATTTCAAGCTAGGTAGTTAAGATTGTTAGAAAACAAATCACATCAAAGGCAACCATGTTTTTGTAGTTTTTAAATTATCCAGATTTTTATCTTTGTTGGCAAAGGTGCAAACTGCAAAGGATGGGTGGAAGGAGATTTTGTAAAAATGAGGATATAATTTTTTAAAAATTTTCTAATTGAGGGTATGATTTTTATTAATCAATTAAGATTATCATCTTTTGAAAATTTTTAATTAAAGATATGATTTTTGCAATTTTACTAATAACGTGTCAAGTAGATATGTGTGCTAATGTGATTAACAAATTCCACTTAATCCTTGGTCTACCTTTATTTTTTCCAAATGGTAGTGATTGCGCCAGGAAGCACGTTCGCTTAATCCTTCATTAGCAAAATTACAAAAGTCATGTTTTTGATTAAAAATTTTTAAAAGGTAGTAATTATTATTAGTTATGAAGAAAACAAAAAAAAAAAAAAAAGAGATCATATTCTCAATTCAAAAATTTTTCAATAGTTGTATTTTTTTTTTTTGTACCAAATCTCTGGATAGAAACAATAATTAACTTGAATCGCATTACTAAGCAGCAAGATTAAGGTTATCAAATGGTTAGGATAAGGGATTAAAAGAAAAAAGTATTATCTTTTATTATATAATTTATTATTTGATTAAAAATCAAAAACTAAGCACTAAGGAGCCATTAACTTATCACTTGAACTGCCTCATGAGATCAAATTTGGAATTTTATATTTTAATAAGATCATTATAACCGAGCTAAAAGTATTGCTAGCAAAAATGAACTAAGAATAGAAAACCTTTGGTGTCGTAAATATATTTTGATTTTTTTTGATACTAAATTAACTCGATGGCTTGCACTTTGTACTTTGAACCTTTTTCTAACGGTAGGCTAGATTCTGGGCTTGTAGCCCAACACAAGCAACCAGAAAAGAGTTGGCTCGGCCCAATGTTATAATTGTATTGATTTGCTCCCATGAATTCCTCACCATGAGGATCAAGAAGCAGTAAATGTGGGAGAGAGGGCAGGAAGGTTCGATTTCAAACAAAAATGTTGGACTCAGAGGTAATAGTTGCAAGGCACTGAACTCACTACAAAATATAGATTATTAGATGAATAGAAATCTTTGGTTGTAAGGGTATGCTAGATTCCTTCATGATCTTATCTAGTGAATTAAGTTTTGTAGTTTGAATTACAAAACTATAAAATTATATCGTATTATTATTGGTTTACTTAAAACATATAATAAAAAGTAATTATTGATTAATAATAATTATTTTTTATTTTAAAAGTGATGAAGTTTATTTTTATTTTAATTGTAAATATTATGTGTTAATTTTTTTTATTAATTTATTTTAAATTAAAAAAAATTATTTTTTTAACTTAAAATTTCATTTTTTTAAAAAAATACCATAATTATTACTCAATCATCAAGCACAAAATAGACAAACTCTATTATTACTGTCACTTTATTTTTATAATCAACACCTGGCCATAGTTATGGCCACCCAAAAACTTTTAGGACTACACAGAAATTACACAATTGTATTTAATTTAACTATTAAGAATAGCATTTTGTGTGGTGCCAACAATTCCATACCTAACTATGTTAGATTTTTATTTTTCACGGCAAGGCCAAAGCACCCACTTTGTGATGGCCAATCATGCCAACTGATGATGTTTGTAAAAGTAAACATAGTATGTCAGAAAGTCCCTGTCATTGTCATTCTCAAGCACAAACGTGTCTTACGAATCCAAACCATCAAATCATACTGATTAATAATTCCAAACAAATCCAGAAACAAATGACTAGGAAAAGGTCCCCACAGCATGTGCACCACTAGAAAAGTCATCCTTATATAAAGTTCAACTTTTCAACGTCATGCAACTCCTGCCACCCCGGTGAACCAACTTTCCAGCTACGTCCTTAACTAATCTACCATAATCTAGAGCTTATAAATTCTATATCTATCTTTTCTTATTAGGGCACAAGCAAATTCCAGGCACTCAGTGAGATATAGAGCCTGGAGAATCATTGAAGCAGATGACACAGAGCCAAAAGGTTAGAAAAGAAAGAAAAAATAAGTTTGCAACGAGTTGAAAATGATAAATTGATAATTATAACTTATAATGCAAACAGTGAAAGACTTTGATACAAATATTAAGTTCCCCACCCCTATTTTGTCCCCCTTTTTCCCGGTTCTTTATCCTCTACTATGAAATAAAACAAATCAATTGGTTAGCTTTTAAAGAATTTTAATAAAGCCGATGGCTCTATCAGTTCAAGTTTAAAAGAACAAAGATCAAGAGAAGAAACAAAATTAACGTAAATATAACTAATGATGCTTTTGGCAATCAATTGGGCTAACAGATGGGCCATCTTTTCTTTTTGCGCTTGTTCCAGATTTGTTACTGTTCTCACATCTCCATTTCTACCACCGGGCATCTGATGAAGAAAATGTGTCCTTGAACCCTTCGGGTTTGGAGGCAATGCTAGACTGGATTTGGGAGTGGGACATATCTCCATACATTGTTAAAGTGCCTTCATCAGCTTGCCACCTTTGTAGAGCTTGAGGAAGACTCATGTCAAGGTCAATGCCATACTGATCTTCATCTTGTTGACGGGTAGGTCTCCACTCCTGGACAAGTGGTGCCAACACATTGACTGCATGGCCCATGTCTGGTCTCTGGTGTGGGTCACGGGCAGTGCAGTGTCCTGCAAGTTCAGCCACCATTAAAATACTTGCCAGTGACTCATCAACAGGCTTGAGAGTTTCATCAACTGTCATCGGGATGTTATCTTTGTTAATTAGGACTCGGCGGAACCATGTTACTAAGTGGGACTGCTCATCTGGCAGGGTCTCATCTAATGCCTTTCTACCAGTGATTAGCTCCATTAAAACAACTCCAAATGCATATACATCAACTTTGGTCGTTACTCTTCCAGTAGCTGTCAACGTAGAAAGTAGATTTTAATAATAAATTACAATGACTTAATAGATGTTGACAATGGACATACTCTAGTCCATGGCCAAACTTGAAATGAAGATGTAAGAAAAACTCGAAAAAATCTACACACAGAGACAAACATGGTGGAACAAAACACAAAAGGCATCACATAGATGCATTTGTAAATTGACCATTCAGTTAAAGTTAACTACTATTTGATTAAGCAAATAAGTTTGTAAGTTCATCAAATTAGAAAATGACAAGTTTTCTTAAAATAATATTCTCAACAAATTCAAGGAGATTAATGAGCAGATAAAGTCTGCAGGGAAATATCTAGAGAGAAAACAATAAAAGAGAAAAACCGGTAAACAGAAAAACTACAAAAGCATGTTAGCACTTACCCTGGGCATTTTCCAATTCTAGTAATAAATGTTCAGGAAACTAACACAACTTAAACTAAGCATGCTTATTATTATAAACTACCAAACTGGACCAAAGGTAGTTAGGTGAAAGCAAACCGTGTGACAGGATGGTTAAACCTGAAATTTTATGCTTCAAACTGGATTCACACTTGACATTTTAACAGCCATTTCTGATGGTTCCTCAAGGAAGCAACTTTCCGTAACTTCCAAGCAATCAAATTTTCCAACCTTTCACAACCTCACGATGTGAAATTAGGTCTAACCATCAGAAGTTTCTCGTAAAATTTTCCCTAAATAATTTTCAAAATTCTATGCTTTGTACATCCCTAAGAAGACTATTCTAGTGCAATCATGGTTTTAAATACTCCATGTTTCTCAATTAATTTTCCTAAAGCCTACGCTTAGAGTCTTACGCATGATGAAGCTGCTAAATAGTAAACGTAAACTTACTAGCATATTCAGGTGCAAGATAACCAAATGTTCCAGCCAATCTTGTTTCCACAGAATATTTCCCATCAGGAGCATGTTTTACTAAACCAAAATCTGCAACCTTAGCTCTCATGTCATCCCCAAGAAGTATGTTTGAAGACTTTAAATCTCGGTGGATGAAACTTTGCTGTGCTAAACTGTGAAGATACTCCACTCCACGTGCCACATCCAATGCAATTGTAACTCTTTGCTTCCAGGTGAGAGGAGAGTACCCACATTGACGCCACTCAAATAAGTGCTGTCCAAGAGTTCCTTGTGGCATATACTCATACACCAAGAGCCTCTCATTGCCATTTATGCAGTATCCTAAAAGTGCCACCAAATGCCTATGCCTGACCTTACTTAGAACTGCAATTTCAGCCTTAAACTCATTCATCACTTTGTTACCCACGTTTGATGATTCCATCCTCTTCACAGCAATCTTTGTGCCATCATGCAATTCTCCTTTATATACAACACCAAATCCTCCTCTTCCTAAGATATTCTCTTCACTGAAATGATTAGTCACCTGTCTAAGGACTTCGATTGAGATTATAGCATTTCCACCATCAAAAACATTGCGATCACTACCATCACCACTGTACTGGCTTTGCATTTCATAAGCGGTTCTACCTTTCATGTTAATTACAGAAGGCTTCCCTTCTCCAGTTTGGTTTTCCTTGTCCTGCGCCCTCCCAAATTTGCCATACTTCTTCATAATAAATTTAAAGGAAACAAAGCCTAGAACAGCAAGGAAAATCAGAACACCAATCACAATTCCCATAATCACACCAACAGAACTCTTACCACTACCACCTAAACCCCCAGTAGAGCCTCCACCACCAGAACCAGTGGACTTCCCAAGTAAAGCATTTCCTGTGTATTGAAACCTCACTGTATTTGGAAAAGTTGGGATTTTTCCAGTGAGATTGTTATTAGACACGTCAAGAAGCTGAAGACTACTCAACTTAGTCAAGCTATCAGGAATTGGACCCGTCAGGTTGTTATCATTAAGATTCAGATTCTTCAACGATGTGAGGTTGCCAAAAGCAGGAGAGATAGTGCCAAAAAGACTCTTCTTAGCAAGGTTAACAGTGATCACGTTTCTTTGTGCATCGCAGGTCACAAAAGAGAACTGGCATGCATTGTTCCCAGTCCAAGAATCAGAAAGAGAAACGGGATAACCAAAACCACCTGCAATTGCCAGCATAATTGTGACCTGAGGATCACAAGGGCCAACAGTGTTCAGACAGAAATTATTGGTCCCATTAATAGAGACCTTCTCCACATTGGATGGAAACTGGGGTAGTGGACCCTGCAATTTATTGTTAGATAAAGATACATTCTTCAAACTTGGGAGAGAAATCAGAGATTGGGGTACAGGACCTGTCAACAGGTTGTCCCGTAGCTGAAGATCAAACAAGGAAGTGCATTTTGACAAATCTGGGATCGGACCTGTGAATTGGTTTTTATGGATCCAAACCTGGGTGAGCGACGTCATCTGGGACAGTATGTCGATTGTACCCGTGAACCCACTTTTCTGATTGTTGAGCCAGAGATACTGGATAGAGGTACTGGCGAGAGACGCCGGAAGTGGGCCGGTTATGTTGTTATACGAAAGCCTGACAAGCTGTAAGCTGGAAAGGGTCTGGAAGACGTCCGGCAAGGGGCCGTATATGTTGGTGTTGTCGAGAGCCAGGTTGGTGAGGCCGGTGGATTGGGTTAAATCAGGAAAAAGCCACGGTTCAATACCATCATTGTCGCTCAAGCTGAGGAGCTGCAAATTAGAAAGCCCATCGAAGGCACCGGCAGAGACGCTGGAGAAATTGTTGATATTAAGAAAAAGCCTCTGCAGGGAGGCGAAGCTGGAGAAGGAGGGAACCGGCCCGGAGAGGGATTTGGAAGACAGATCGATGGTGGTGACGTGGCTGGAGGAGTCACAGGAGATGCCCTGCCATTTGCAGAACCCAGAGGAACTAGTGGTGGACCAGGAGGACGGCGCGGGGTTGAGGGCAGCGGCGAGTTTGAGGATGGCGGGTCCATCGTCCGCAGAGGAGGTAAAGAAGAGGGAAAAGATGAGGACGAGGAGGGAAAGGGACACTAGAAGGGTTGGGTGGCCCATTGTTGTCGTGGAAGGTAGGGAGGAGGGAGTGGGAAGGGGGGAGGACAAAGAGAGAGGAAGAAAAGAATTGTTGCCGGAATATATGGTGTTATTAATGGAGGGATCTGCCTTTTCCGTTTTAACCCTAAAGAAGGTAGGGAAACCAAGTATGAATCAGTTGGGATAAATAATGATATGATCTTATGACTTACTTTTCTTTTTCACCAACAATTTTAATGTAAAAAATAAAAAATCTCTATTTATCTTTTATATTTTTAAGTAATATAAGTAAATGTATATAATAATAATAATTTTAAA